GCACTACATGTCATACCCATAAAATCAAAACATAGATAATAAATGAGTTAAATGAATGAGTTTGTGGGATAAAATACCATGATATGTCATTAACATGATTACCTGGATAGAGGAATTTTTCTCCAACAATTCACTGGATCCGCAAATAGTTGAGTAGTCCAAGAGACACTACAACAAAAAAGGCCTTTGGTGACAAACTGATTTTGTCTCCAAATATCAAATTTTTGTCACCAAAGTGATCTATGACGAAAAATATTTGTCACCAGGTTCGTCATCTATTTGTCGTCACAGAAAGTGCCTAGGGATGAAAAATCGTTTTGTTGTCTATTCTTCATTTTCAGCGTTGAAAATTTTCATCTCTAAATGTTGAATTTTTCGTCCTCTATGATATAGAGGACGGAATATTAAGATAGAGGTTTTAGTGACGAAATTTATCCTCACCAATGATATAGATTATGGTGACAAAAAAATTCGTCACTAATATGAGCACAAAAGAAAATTCTTTAATAACAAACAATTTTGTCGCTAAATATTTCAAGTTAGTGACGAAATATTTAGCAAATGTGATGAAATTATTTGTTGGAATTATATCATTAGTGACAAAATTATTCGTTAAGAAAAGTTGTTTGAAAACTAATAGTGTCAGTTTTTTTATTTCGTCACTAATAATAATTATCATTTTTAAAAATTGGGGTAATATTTTAAATTTTCAATTTTTTTCACTAAAAATTTCTTGCACATTTTAATAACATGTTTAATAACATATTTATTACAGATCAATACAAAAACTTGTTCATTATCATAAACACAACAGTGGAAATATGTCTCATAATATCCACAAAAATACAATGTCAACTGCGGATTACGAAACACGTCTCCTAATATCCACAAAAATATAATACCAAGTGCAGATTACCAAACATGTCTCCTAATATATACAAAAATATAAATTTTACAACACAACCAAATACAGTTAAGGTAATATTAAAAAAAAACACAAAATGGATGGTAGAGATTGGTTTTTGTAGAAAAGAGGTAGGGGTGTTAAAGAGGGACAAGAGCACATACAAACCTATAAAGATATAGATAGATACAAAATAGTCAAAAGAGTATTATCGGCCACGTTTTATATTGATTCATTCAACTCTTTATTTGTTTCTTAGCTAGTCACACATGCATCCCTACCCTATCATTACACAAATATTTCTCCTATGTTTCTGCCCAACTTCCCGGATATGGTAAGAAACACTCCCCATGCAAATATGTTTCCAATCTCTCTCTCTCTCTCTCTCTAGAACTTACATATATCGCACATCTCTCTCTCTCTCTCTCTCTCTCATCAATTGATATACGTGGCAAATACAATTCTTAACTTGAGAATTTGATGCATATCGGATACATGCTTGCTATAGAATTTTTGAAATTTAGGAAAAACAAGATAAATGTTAAAACATTAATAGACGTAATACGACATGTCTTTAGAATCATGTGAAATTTGATCGAAATATGAAATATGACATGGCCAACAATATTGATTGCTTCGTCATGGCATACGATGAATTTTGAACAATTTTTAATGTTTATGTTTTCAATTTTGTAATTTTGCTAGTTTTGAAAATAATTGATTCACATATAACTCAATTTAAACGAATCCAATTGGGACTAGATTTTTTTTTTCATAACATGTATTTTTCATTGTAATTTTTAGATTTGAGCTTAACGCAAATATTTTCATTTTTGATAATTTTTATAATTCCTTTGATTTAAGATTGATGAGCACATATTGTTTTTTTCAATTTATCTTTTGGCTTAATTAGAACCTCGTTCTATTATAAATAACTGTTGTAAACTTTGGGAAAAAAAAAACCAATTTATTTTGGAGAATTAGTATTATTACCAAAGAGAATATCTTTTTATCAAATTTGTTGTTGTTGTTTGTGTTCGAATGTTCATCTCATTACCTTCCCTGCATCAATAGCTCTGAGACCAATTACCGTAAGGGGCCTATGGTGGCTGTATTGCTGTCAAGGGAAAGACAGGGCAAGGGTAGTTAAGTAATTCATTTTACATCATGAAGGGCAATAGAGTAATTTACTTATCAAAGTTAACATCGTCAATATTCTACTCGTTAAATATAGTAACTATATATTTTATCTATTATACATACCATATTATATTCATTACTATACTTAGATTTATCTCCTTCTATATGAAGTAATCTTGTATACATTATTACAACATTTAATATGATACAAATTTCTCTCTCTCTCTCTCTCTTACATATTCTAATATAGTATCAGAGTTAGGTTAACTACTAAGTAATTTTTTGTATAAATCCTGCGTTGGGATTGATCTCTCATATTAGTTAGTCAATACAGCCGAATACCAATCCAAATAACTATGTTAAAAAACGGCTTTTCTAAAACCGGTTTTCATGAAAAAAAAAATTTTGAACAAAAAATATTTATGTTGAAAATATAAATTAAAAATTGAGGAAAGATTAAAAACAAAGGACAACAATGAGTTGCTTGGAGTTTTTGGTGATTGAACATCACATTGTTGTCCTCGAACCCCCTACAGCCATTGATGGACACTTGGACTTCATAATTTTCTGAGACTTTACCTGTTGAGAGATCAACATGGAATTAATATGCCAAATGACCGAGGAATGGAGGGCCATATTTTAGAAGATTTAATTTAATTTATACATTTGGATTTTAAATTTGTCAATAGAAATGGCAAGAAAAAAAAAGAAAAAACAAGATAAAAAAGTTCATAATTCTACAAGTTTGGGAATAACAAATGCCTTCAAATAATAATATAATAGGTTTGAGAAAACTTCACAACAAACTTAACATATTTTTCCTTGTATTTTAATTACTTTTTTGTTAGTACATAAAAAGAAAATTATAAATATGTGCAAGAAAGATCCTCAAAACACATATAAAAAGAAAAAGCCCACATCTACAAAGAGAATCAAACCTTTTTTGAAGAAAGGAAAATCCTATAATTCAGAGCCTCTAGATATAGAAGTCTGGCCCGTTTGGACCAAGCCCTACAATAAGCCCACAATTTTCTTGTATGAGCCCACAGCCTAGCCCAACCCATTACATCGTATGCAATAATAACAGATCTAAATCGAGCCCACAGCCTAGCCCAATCCATTAAGCTTTTTTTTTTCTTTTTTTGTTTGTTTGTTGTTAATTTTGGCTAGTACTTTGTTCGGTGGTACTGTATGGGTGTGCATATGTGATGTCAAACTTGGGTTGTAAATTGATGTTAAAGAAATCAAATGTTGTTATTAAAATGTGATAATTTTCCCGTCTTCTCTAATAGGATCAAAATTTCGTTTCCCTACGTTCTTTTGGTTAGGTTGGAAATGAAAATAGAATTGGAAACTTTTCAAACTTTTCGAAAAGTTTGAGAAATAACAAAAGGATTTGAAAGTGTCTGAAAATATTTAGGAAAAAAAAACAAAAACTTTGATTGATGTTAATAAATTCTCAATAGTTAATTACTTGAACATGTTGAGTGTTATGCATGCTTAGTTGGATAAAGGGGTTTCCCATTTTAAGAAAAGTATATTAAAAGAAATTGCGAAATTCTTGTAACAATAGGCATGGAAAAATAAACAATCGGTGCATTGCTCCTTAATGGATTCTAGACTACGAGCACAATTGGTAGCTAATTTGTTCTCACAATAAAGTCTCAAAAAATCATTTTTGGTTGGTATTAATTCTTGTGGTGATTTTTAGCCAAAAGACCCATGCCTAAAGGCACTCCTGTGTAATATATGTGGTGTTTGGTCTCAAATATGCTTACTTCATTATTTTGAAATAATTGAGTTACTTTGAATGCAAAGTGCAGGTGTGGAAGTTGTGAGCATTATGTTCTATTGGGGTGGAAAGATTTTGCGCAATCGCGATGAAGGTGTGTCCTACGACATCGAACCTCAGGGGTTGTATAATGTGCACAGGGGGATAACATTGTCCGAGTTGGAGGCTATGATGGTGCCGAAGGTTGGTACGCATGGGGAAAGAATGCGATTAGAGTTTAAATGTAGACTCCCATGTCGGAGGCAGTATAGGTTCCTGCCAATCAAAGATAATGAGACCTTAAGTAATGTCTTAGACCTCCCATATAAATTAGGCCCTGATTATTTTTTGGAAATCTATGTGGAGAAGGAGAGCAATTTAAGTAGCACAGAGATGCCAATTCTGGTGGGTGGGACATTCACTCAAATGCTGACACAATCGCAATCCCCTGACAATACACTTACACAGTCTGCACACAAGTTCCCTGCAGATTGCCCTCCATTCAATCATTCTCAGAGTTACAATGAATTAAATGCATCACAGAACGTAAATGGTTATTACAGTACCGGAGCAGGTCCAAGTGCTCCGACAACGTATAATCCGATGGTTCTTACAACCCCATATCCCCATTGGAATGAAGAATATCCACCGGTTTGTAATGTTCAACATACACCGGAGACGGCTGTCCAAAATTATGCATACTCCGATGATACAGTGCCATTGTTTGACGAGGTTGGAGTAAGTGATGAAGATTCCGTGGAAGATTTGGATGTCGCATGGGAAGGTGCGGACAATGACTCCGGTGATGATGAAGTTGGAGGGCATCATGATATGCATGAGGTACACACAAATGTCCATATCCCTTTCTACCATAATTTGCATTTCGACAATGATGGTTCCATCACTAGCCGTGATGTTGTCGAACGTTGGCCATTGTGGGACTTCGAAACTGCTCATTTGGAGAAAGGAATGATATTTACTGATAAGGAAAGACTAGTGCACGCTGTTTAGTTGTATAACCTGAAGCGCAATCGAGAATGCAAGGTCGTAGAATCCAAAGGAAACAGTTGGGTGGCCAAGTGCAAGCATGGCTGCAACTGGAGGGTTAGGGCAACGAAGTTGAAAGACAAAAATTTCTTTCAAATTAGAAGGTTTGAAGTGCCGCATCAGTGTGTGTACCCCAGAATGAATAGGGACAATTGCAACCTCAAGTCCGAGGTCATTGCTCATTTCATCAAGGCACAAATTGCGGTAAGTGCCATGGTAGATAGATTATTTTTTTTAGGATTTCATTATGACTGTAATATATTCAAATATAATTTATATTTGCAGATATCACCAAAATTGCCTCTTGCTACCATAATTAAGGTCGTGAAAGAGAAGTTTCAGTTCACTATATCATATAAGAAACCGTGGCTTGCAAGGACGATGGCAGTTGCAATGGTGTTTGGTGACTGGGACGAGTCATACCGAAGGTTACCTAGATATATGGCTATATTGCAGTCATTCAATCCAGGCACAGTTGTCATGTGGGACATGATTCCAAATTTGCGCTCTACCTCAATCGGAACTGAAATGTACATGAACTATGTGTTCTGGGCATTTAAACCTGCAATAGAAGGCTTCAAGTATTGTCGTCCAGTGATATGCATTGACGGCACACACTTGTACGGGAAATACGAAGGGAAGATTGTTGCGGCCCCTGCAGTGACTGCTGCGGACAAGATTGTACCTCTTGCCTTTGCTGTTGTTGACAAGGAGATGATCGAGAGTTGGGGTTGGTTCATTACTCTACTTAGGCGACATGTGTGCCGTGACTGAGAGGGGGTCACATTGATATCCGATCGACACACAGCTTTGCTTAGTGTCCTGTCAAGAATTTGGGACAATCCAGCAGTTCAACCAAGAGGGTACCATAGGTATTGCTTGCGACACGTATGTAGCAATTTCAATAAAAGATTCGGCAATACAGTAGCGAAGGATCTTGTGTGGAGAGCTGGCTCTGCATGGCAAGTGCGGAAGTTTTACAAGATTATGGACGATATCTACAAGCTCGAGAAGAATGTTGAACGGTGGTTTAGACGGATGAACCCTATTCATTGGACATTGTGCCATGATGGTGGTTGTCGTTGGGGCATATTGACGACAAACCATATAGAGGGCTTCAATGGTGTATTGAAAGGCGCACGCAGTGTTCCCATTACAGCATCAGTTGAGATCACTTTTTATCGGCTCATGAAATATTTTGACGAGTGCAGGACCATTGCTGAAAATGTAAGTGATCGGGGTCACTTGTACACGACTAATGTTCAACGATGGATTGACGAGCACCAAGCTAAAGCGAATGTGCATATGTTGGTACCGATTAATAGGTAATTTTTATTGGATGCACCGAATTCACTACACTTTAACATTTCGCACTCGTCGATCATTGATGTTGTGTCGTAATTTTAACATATATGCATGTTCATCCACGTACATACATTTTTCCTATAGGGGAATAGGGGAATATGAGGTGAGGACAGCACCGCATGGGATGGGGGGTGGTGCTCGTCAAATAGTTAGTCCCCAACCACCGAGTTGTTCATGTGGGAAGTACAAATTATTTCACTTGCGGGAACCACCCGCTGGTTGTTGGAATTCATGGTACGAACGGTTTTCACACTACTAACCCACATTGACTTTTTCAATTTTTATGAGACGATTTTCAGTATAATTTACATGTATTGTTTGTAGTTTTTTTTTTTAACTATAATTTCAGAGTTGCGTATTGGCCTGTTTGTGAAACTTTTATTTTTAAATAAGTTGAAAAAGTTAATTACCATAATGTTAGCGAAATAATGCTTTCGGCGTCTTTTTTATTACTAACCTTTAACTTACAATAAACTGTACCAAATAAACACATGAACGGGTTCGTTTGGGATGTGGGTTGACTTTTTGGCTTTTTAACTTTTTGGCTATTTTAGCCTGGGGCTAAAAAGCCTCACTTGGGACAGGCTTTTTGGCTTTTGTAAAAGATAAAATGAAATGAATATTGTTTAGATGCAACATTTTGTGTTATTGGCTTTTTAGCCTATTTTGTCTTTTTGCCATAGCGAACGAAGGACTGGTTGTTCATTCCTTCTCTTTTACCTAGTTAATAGAGTGAGTCAACATTATTTCTTGTAAAAATTGTCATCACGTAAGTAGTTGGGAACATTAAATAAATAACACCACATGATACTCTTGGATGACTCAATAATTATCCTTGCTAGGTGGCTAATTATGTAGTACTCTAGGAGAAAAATATGTTGATTCACTTTTTTTTAATAATTAAGAAATAATAAATAATTCACTTAATATGTTACGATTTCTCATTTGTTGATTCATCTGTGAAGCGTTTTGCCAATTCCGAATAACATAATCTTCTACTTGCCCGCGATTTCTTACTTTATATTTTCACTGTCCTAAAAATCATATAAAATAAAAACACAAACAATTTCAATTATTGACAAAGTGACTATTTTAGCTTGTTCGTTTACTTAAATAACTTTTAACTTATTTCATACTACAACAACTTGCATTAATATAGTTCGAGCGACATTTTTCATTTCAAAATAAAGGACTTTAAACTCTTCAAAATATATTCATTACATGTTATATTAGTCTGTAATATTTCATTGTATTCATTTGATCCCCAACTTATTTAATTCTTATCTCAATGATGAAATGACGGCTTAGTTATATTTTACGCCCTTCTAATTTAACCAAAAACCACATAAACCCCCATTGCAGTCTACAGTAAAGGATACAACCCAACTTCGTTAACAGGTGTACCAAACATTTTAAAACTTATATTAGTTTTGATGGAGCCTTTTATTTGTATGTCATGACACTGCAAATCTATGTCTATATGTATTTATCTTTGTACATTTACACCACTTACGCACTATGCACCACTAAAATGTTGGTTATCTCAGCCACTGTTTTAGTTAATAGAAGATGGGTTCATTATGAAAATTCAATTGTCATTTGTACAAGCATTATGTCTCTTACACACAACGTTGTCTTGTGCAGGCGAAAGATCAGCCGAAATTGAAATGCTGACGATCTGATTCGGGCTTATGGGACACCGCCTTGGACCATAGACTCCTACGTTGCCTACTCCGTGCGGGGTTCTACGGGATGTATCGGATCGGACCTATTCGATTGGACCACCATCTCGTTACAACTCTCGTAGAGAGGTGGCGCATAGAGACGCGCACATTTCATTTTCCTGTTGGAGAGTCCACAGTTACATTACAAGATGTGGCTATTCTATTTGGCCTATCGGTTGACGGACACGTAGTCACAGGAAAAGACCCAGGAAATATGTTGGATGATTTGATAGTGCTATGTGTGGAGTTGTTAGGAGCAGCACCTACACAAGAAGACTTCATAGGCTCACCACTTAAGTTGAAATGGATATCAGAGCATTTTTGTCACCTTCCACATGATGCATCCGATGAGATGGTTCATCATTATGCTTGAGCCTATATTTTGTGGCTTATTGGGGGGTACTCGTCCCCGATAAGTCACAAAATATAGTCAAGATGATGTTTTTGCCACTACTTAGAGACTTTGACCGTATCCAGGAGTACAGCTGGGGTGGTGCCACATTGGCATGTTTGTACAGGATGTTGTGTCGGGCAACTAAGGCTGATACGAAGGAGATAGCTGGCCCACTAGTGTTGTTACAAGTGAATTGCAATGACTTGTAGTTTTATCTCATATTCTCAATTGCCATGTTTTCTAAATTGCCTACTGTAATAAATTAATAATGGCATCATTCATTGTAGGTTTGGGCGTGGGAGAGATTGAGCAGGATCGCCCCTAGTCAAAAGTCAAGCATTGCTGCTGGCGAGCGTGCCATAGGGGAGGGCGACCAGCTGTTACCACCTGGCCCGCGAGCTTGCAGGTGGAGGGTTCCCTTCAGCCATGAGGTGATATCGACTAATGTCGGTGTCATCTTCCGGGACCAGTTCGGCCGCATGGTGGAGGGGGAGGTTTGTAATTTGTTCATGTGAATTTACCCATTTTTTTGTTTGTCAACCTCCGTTGTACGAATAGATCTCTAAATTATTGTATTGCTATTGCAGTTCATATGGGAGCCATACGGGACGGAGGATGACATCATGACCAGTTTCCCATCGTATTGTACTGTTGGTCGAGACATATGGATGGCGCGAGTGCCACTTATATGCTTCGATATCATTGACTGGCATCTCCCCGACCGGGTGCTTAGACAATTTGGACGAGTTCAGAGTGTGCCTGATTGCTTTGACGCCCACTTGGCTATGCATTTTAGAGATAGGCGTGGCAAAATGGCCATTGATTGGGTAAAGGAATACCAGACATTTATTGGTGAGTGGAACGACCGACGCAACACCATTGTCCATGCTGAGAGGAGCAATGAAGTGCTTACATCTTCGGACCCATACATGTTATGGTTTTGCCGTCATACACGTGTAGTACTTAGTAATCTGAGTGACATTGCTGCCTTCGGATACCAAGGCGTCGGGGGTAGTTTAGAGGGTATGTTTGTGTAAGTTTGTGTATGTTTGTTATTTGGCATTGATGGTTATGTAACACAGCTACCATTACATTACAGGTTCGTAGAGTTGCGAGGGCATATCACATGGCAGACGCTGCCCATATTACACGCGATGCTAGAGAAAAATCGGATGCCATTGCCGAGATAGGAGAGTTATTGTACGATGGTTTGCAACAGGCACACTGACGTGACCGACTAGATTTCGGCCACTTTGGCGAGGATCCTTATATGGGGGTAGATATTACAGTGACATCAATGCCGCACCCGAATATGCCATCCACTGAGCCATTGACATCAATGCCTCCACTGCATCCTACCGCACGTCATGCACATCAATCGAACTATTTCGATATGGAACACTTTGGTGAGGGGCCTTCCATGGGCCTATCCCCTCATGGTCCATCTACAACAATGCATACACCACAGACTTCCCCACATGAATATACCAATTACACATCCCAGTTTGCCCCTGAGGTAGATCCTCTAATGTCTGAACATACTTCCACACACCATGGCCATATATTGGACCCCTCCTGGTCACCACCCCCATATAGGACAGCAGTTGGTACCCCGGTGACTCCCTTAGCACCACTGTCTACTACATGTCTGTCTACTATGATTCCCTCTACGTCGACATTGACTGCACCCGACCCTTTCACAGTACCATCATCTCCTACCCCACTATCATCTCCTACACCACATAAAACCTTCACCTACCATGTTGATCCACTCATTACCCATGACTTCCACATTGACGGGGAGGGGGAGGGCCAGGTCCATGCACCTACCAGAGGGACAGGTAGGGGTAGAGGTTGTGGCGACCGTCGTGGTGTAAGTAGAGGTCGAGGGCGAGGGCGACGCCAAGCAATAGACCATGACAATAATGCAGCGGATGATGGCATTTCACAGCTTAGTGCCGTATGTGAAGGTGTGCCGGAGGTGGTATCAAATGATTGTACTGCAGCCATTGGTGATGTGCAGCCAGCTTCTATAGAAGCGGGCGAGGGAGTCGTACGTGCGGCAGCGCAAGATATACTGAGAGTATATAGTAAGAGACCCAGGAGACAAACCCATGGAAGGGGTTGTGGAACAGTGGAAAAATTAGGACATTAGGAACAACCATCATTGGTAAGTATATTCAAACATTATGTTCAGGTGGTGTTTTCACATGGATTAGTCTACATTGTTTAAGTTGTGGCTTTTTATATAGTTCTGGCTTTTGGCTTATCTTATCTTGTAATTGTGGCTTATTTTATAAGATTCTAGATGCTGATGCTGCTGCTATTTTTGTTACTGTTTTGAAGGAAGGGGTAGCTGCTTGCTGTGTTGCTTCTTCATTCTAGTTGCTGCCGGCTGTGTGTTGCTGCTGCTGGCTTGGATCAGTGAGTTGATAATTGGGTATGTGAAGGAAACAAGCCATAAATATAAGCTTGTATTCACATAGACTAGAAAAAAATACTTTCTTGATGGTGAACTTCTATCAATATAAAAATTGAGAGTGAAAATAGAATTAGTCTTATTAACTCTGGCATTTAGTGATTGGATTATCCAATTGCTGGCATCTATTGTCACAACCTGTAATTTACAGGTTTTAGTTTTTGAATCATTCTAAACTTCCATTTTAAAATTTATGTGGATAGTAGTATATTTTAGTGTTTATAATTCTGTTGCTCATAGTATTTGTTTTTCTAGTTGATTGCCCTAATCTCTACTATTTTGCTTTCACCTACAGATGGACCTGCGAGATAAGCCAGCACTTGATAAGCTTTTTGCTTCCATGAAGTAAGTTTTACCGTATGCTTTA